GGAGCCGCCGGCTTGAACATCGCGATGCTGGCCGTGTCTTCCCAGCCTGGATCGCCCCCCGCGGCCGGCCTGGTGTCCTCCCCGACGGGCGGCCAGATGTTCGTCGTGCCTCACATGCCGGAGCTGGAGGTGCAGCAGCACCGGCTGGGCAGCCTCACAGTGGCGGTGGACGCGGCAGACGCCGCCGGGATGCCCGGAACGACCATCAGTCTGCCGGGAGCCGCGCCGGGGGAGACGCGCCAGGTGGTGCTGCTCTCGCCAGAGCAGGCGCAAGCGCTGGCGCAGCTGTGCGCGGACGGAGGATCGGAGGCCAGCGAGGAGCAGGCGGGCGGGCTCGTGGACTGGGCCGCGCTCAACTGCGGCGTGCTCGACAGCGGATCGGGGAGGCTCGGATCTGGCAGGTGAGTTTCGACAGCGGCGATCTCGGCGGGGCGGGCGGCCCCCTTTTGTCTGGCGTTTGCACTGCGGGTTGCTCGTTGGACCCGAGAGTGGGAAGGTGCCGCGCCCAAGGGGATCCATCGCAGAAAATTGCTGCGCTTGAGTCGTACGGCCATGTCGGGCGCATGTCGGTGAATTCCGCGGCTGGCGGGTGGGCTCCTGACGGCCTCGTTTTTACGATTGTTTGGTCCAGCGGTGATTCGCTGGAGGGTGCGGGGAGCGAAGGCGGCCAGGCGGCTTGGGAGGATGGCAAGCGGCGGGTGCCGGGGCGGCGACAGAGGCGGGCGTCCTGGCACGCGGGCCTCCAAGGCTTCCAGGAGGACATCGATCGCGACGAGCGGCGCAAGGAGCGCAACAGGCGCGCGCAGAGGGTGTTCCGGGAGAAGCAGAAGAAGAGGATCGCGACCCTTGAGGACGACTCCACCAGCCTGAGGGACAAAGTGAGTGGGCGGGCCGCGGGCGGTGCGATGCTCTGCCGTACGCATCGTCCAGTTGTGGGGGCACGCCATGCCGCGGGGTTTGACCATTTCTTAGACACTTGTCAAGATGGCCCCCTTTAGTACGCGGTCCTGCTATGAGGCGTCACATTTCACGTCCCCCCGCATGGGCCCATCGTGGGCACCCGTGGGCGCCCTGCTGCCATCGTGGTCTGAGCGAACACCAACCGGCCAATGGCCCCGTTTCAGTCGATTATGTTCCATTTGAATGCAGCAGGAATGGGGTGACTGATCCCAGCGCTCATCGCACAGCTGCATTTCCTGTCTGTGGGGCATTGTCGCTATGATCCTGTCATCCACGTTCCTTGACAAACTGAATTCTGTGGCACTTGCCAGGTGCGCGCTCTCGAGCTGAAGAATGCTGAGCTGAAGCAGGAGAACGAAATTCTGAAGCGCCGCATGGAGAGAGCCAAACGGAGCAAGGAGGAGGGGGGGTGCAGCGAAGAAGAGGACAAGACGACAGGCCCCGATGCCATGGAAAGGTACGGAGGGAAAGGTCAAAATGTCTGTTATGGCAGCTGCACGTGCGGCTGTGCTGTGTGAACGCGCGGTGGCACGTCTTAAACTAGGGATGGCAGGCCACGGACATCCCATTTTGTTGCCTGGCACTCTCGACTGTGACACGGGATCTGCGACTCTATCTTCATCTTTTGTGCGCATGCTTCACACATCAATAGATGTCTAGAACGCCGCCCTCCTGGGAGCACAACCACGAGGCGAAAAACAAATAACAGAGCCCTGCGGCACATTAAGGACGCTTCTGTTCCACACACAGCACGTTATGCAGAGCTGACGACTGGGGGCCAATCAGCCAATTGCTAACGTCATCTGTCTCATTTTGATTTCCAGGTAATGCAGGTCTGCAGGTCTGAAAGGTGTGTGGGAGGTGCCAGAGACAAGCAATGGCAACGCAAGGATGTGCCATGCGGAGGTGCTAAGGATTGAGCCATGGGCCGTGAATAGGTCGATGGAATTGCAAGGACAGGGGATGGGAGATTCTGTTGGTGTATGAAGGGGGCCGCGGTTGTTTTTTGCACCAGTCTGGGAATGTGGCGGGGAGGGCCGTGTGGCACGGGTGGTTTTGAGTGGCAATGTTGACTGTTCCTTGCCAAGGACGCCATCAGCGGTCAGGTCACATGATCTTTGTCAATTTGAAAGCTCGATCAGTGCGGCATGTAGAGGAGCAGCGACACAATGGCGAGGCGCTGGCGGCGGTGGCAATTGCTGAAGGAAAGGCCAGGCGCCATATTTTGACGGGATGGGTTGCTTTCTGACAGAGGTGGCGGAAATCAGAGTCTGAATGCGATGAAGCCTGTAGTTCGCAATGAGCTGCACGCGTGGCCATTGGAAAATGGGGCGGGGTCGGAGGGTGGGGTCTAGGGGGCGTGTGTGCTGGGTCCAGCCCACACAGCGAAGGGAATCAGGCTTAAGGGAACAGGAAGGTGTCGGAGGCGATTGACTTGGCGAGGCCAGCGAGCTTCGCAAATTGGTGTCCCGACGTACCACAGCCGTGGCACACTGTGGATGAGTGCGCGTGGATAAGATTTTGGGTGCTAGGTCGCGCCTTCTACGTCAGTGTACAGGGACAAGGGGATTATGCGTTTGGAGCAGGGTGATGAAAGCTGCAATTGGTGGGGAAGAATGCCGTAACTTTCGCCATCCATTGAGCAAATCGTTGCTCCCCGAGATTGCGGGATGCCCCGCGTCAGAATGGGTCATGGAGACAGGAACGAGATGAGCACTTGAGAACAATAGTTCGAGCGCATTAGCTGCCGACCGATTGGCGGCCGAGGAACGGCCGAGGAACGGCGCTGAAAATAAATAGTGCTACTGGTTGATTCAGTTAGAGATTTGTACTTGTATATCTCACGATTCGCAGTTCTGCGACAGACTACACAAAGTAGGACAGCTGGAGGCAAACTGTAACGAACAATGAGAATGCTCTGGTTCCCCTTTGAGATCGCAATTTCTTTCCCTTTGTGCCCCCTGAGGTCGTGGCGTTCTACAACCATCTTTGCGACGGGCACTTCATTGCACCCAAACTTGGGTTCAATCTTTCGTCAGCCTTCTCATCCACCATGCATCAACCTCGCATCCAGCTTGTATACACGTTGCTCAGCACATCATACCGACATCACTGCAGGCGACGACAGGTCCCCGACACCAACGTGGCCCTATGGGGCCAGACGCAGAAAGGTTGGGTTGCCTCCGCCACAATCGGAAATGTCAAGACAAGCACCTAGGGCACCTGTGACCAGCGGAATTTTGATATGCAATTACCATTTCAAAGTTGGTGCCGTAGAAGTGCAATCTGCGGAATGCATTGAAACCAGTCCCGCACACACATATACAGCGAATAATTCACAAATCCAACGGTTTGCGACGTACAAATTGACTTAACAATTTCACAAGAAGGAAAAATGCCGGCCAGTAGAACGTAAATCTGACTACGGTACCCTGTTACATCCTGCACAACAGTGATTGATTGGCAAGCACATCTGGACGCTGTGGCCCTTTGGTTTGACAGCATGTCCAGTGGTGACATGACACTCCTCTATGTCCTTTCTTGTGCATAACATCATATGTAATAGTCCAAGTTGTTACAGTGTCCAACATTGAAGTAGACCATTATGGTAAGGGGTTGCCGCAAGTCCCCTTATGATAAGGGGTTGCCCCAAGTCCCCTTATGATAAGGGGTTGCCGCAAGTCCCCAACTCGCCCTCACCATTCCACAAGCCACAGCTCCCCAATACAACACTTCTGTGCTACTTTTGAGCTACAAACTGTGGTTCCAACTGCCAATCGCTCATCACAATGCTCTGATGCCAAAGGGGAGCCTTCTGATAGCGCCGCCAAAGTCTGTTGTTCCACAACTCAGGCATTCCCAGAGCCGTTGCAGCCCCACCTGGTGCAGGCGATACCAGCCGTTCGTCAGTCCCATACAGCAGCTGGAACGAGCCCGCTGGGCTGCCCACATGCGCTCATGTGTTCAAGACCCCTTGCAGCTATTGGCCTTCAGTGTCAGCCATGCCTGGATGCCACTGCCACATGCATTGAGAAGTTGAGAGCAAGACAGTTTTTGGTGCCGTGTTTCTCTATCAGTGACAATGCAGAGCACCATGTGGCCTGAGCATGTTCCCTAGTTGGCTGACCTGTACGCAGGCAACGATGAGCACATGAAGTTCAAATAGAGTAATATGGCAATGCGTGGGTATTGAACGCACTGTCTGTGCCTATGCGCAACTGTAGCAACCCAGCACAATGAGGAATAGAGAAGTGGGGACTAGGCAGGGGGTGCATGCTTGTGCGGGTGGCAGGTGGATGGGGCGAGGTTGAAGGAGGTGATGTGAAACTGCGACTGCTTTGGGTATGTATGAGTATGTGGCTATCTATGCCACTTTAAAAGACACTTGAGGCTGTGCACATCGACAAAAGCTGCATACGTTGCAAGGCATCATTTCTGGTTGGAGGAAGGTGACTAAAGGATGTTGACCCGCTTGTTGATTTCACACGTGTGGAGCGAATTTGGATTGAGTGGGGATAAAGCAACCTGCTTGTCAGTGTCTACAGGGCCCAAAGGCATCAATGACGAAGGAAAAATTTGCTGGCCAGCTGTAGATCAGGTCAAGTGCTCAATGACGCTGCAATGCAAGCCTATGAACGCCATTGTGTTGATGGCAGCATGCACACTGCATCCAGCGGCGTTGATGCCCAGTTTCACCATTGCTTAGAGGGTGCATAGCTGCCTGGGGCGTTAGTACTGTTTCATTTTCTGGACCCTCCATTAGGGCCATGTCATCACAATCGATATCTGTTGCTCCTTGCAGAACACAAGAAGTACTGAAAGAAAAGTGGTTGTTGCTCCCAAAGGCAATCTATCGTGCTTGGCAAATGAGCATTCAATGCAAACGGACTGCAAGCAGCTGCCTGGAGTGACAAGCAACAGGCCCTTGTGTTCCTAACCTTCACTCCTGCCCCCCTGTCTGCTGCAGCCTGCCAGCACATCTGGCAACCACCATGCGACACCTGGGACGTCTCATTTGCAGGTATGGCCATCGACTGGCATCATGATCCACCGGTGAACCTGCTGTGCAGTGACTTTGCATTTTTCACCATGTCACCGATGCTCTTTGTTTGTGTCCCTGGGTGCTGGAGGTCACGCTCCCGATCGAATGGGCGGTAATTGGCAAAGGCGCCATCGTTGCCTGGACCTAGGCAATCAGAATATGACACGTCATACTTACACAACTGTGAGTCATTGGCGAACAAGCACACATTGCAGATGAATACATGCCTGATATAGCCTGGAAAGGTGCATGGTTGCCTTGACAAAACAGCTGAACTGGGGTTGGATGTCCAGCAACATGGTGAGACATGGCAAGGGGCCATTGTCACACAGAATGATAGGCAGCAACAGCGGTGCACAGAACTCTGACATTGTTTCTTTTGAGGGTACTGGAATGCCACAAAGCACATGGAAACCCAGTTGCCACCAATTTGCCTATCAGCACATCTGATCAGTTAAGAGAGTAAAACTATGAGGTGCATGGTGATCGGCTGCCAATTCATTCAGACCAACATAGTCCTACTAAACATGACAGCACAGTAAGGCAGCACAAACAGCACAATTGCTTGAAACGTTGTTCACAGCCACTCAACCTTCCATCTTTGCGTTGCTATGTGAAATTATCAACACTAGCTGCTTGCTGCAGACGATTTTTCATGAGGCAGACAAAGTTGAGATCCACAACAGCAATTCCTGCCCACCTTTGCTCTTCTTCTTACTCTTCTTCTCCTTCTCCAGCTTTTCCAGGTGTTTCTCCAGGAGTGACTTTTTCCCAGGTTTGTCCACCCCATGGGCAGGCGCCCCTTTGCTCGCAACCTTTGTGACTGCACTGCTGTGTGGGCCCTGGCACCCCAGCCGCTCCAGCTGCTGGTTGCGTTCCTCCATGCCGGGTGTGCTGGTCCAGGCACTGGAGTCTCCCCTCACAAAGGCACCTTGCCTGGAGAACGCTGTTTGGCTTACCTGAAGCAGGAACGTGTGATGAGCAACTTCAAGCCCTGGTAGGTTCACTGCTGTGATGGAAATCCACCTTTTCGGCATTCAGATCTCCAGAATGTGACAGGTACCGAAAGGCAACGTCGGACAGGCAATGCAGACGTTTTCAGTGCACTGCCACATAGTTCTGGTGCATCTAGAGATCTCCACGGCAACTCCCAGTGCGCCAATAACCATCAACACTTTACTTGGAGGGAAGGGGTTTCCAGCTGCATTCTACCACTACCATTGCCCTGCTCCACTATTTTCAATGGCCAAGGGTGTATTCAATGGCTAGCAATTGGGCTAGCAAGAGTGGTTTGCCATGCCCCTTGACATTCCTTCCTCTGCTGTCTGTCTGGCAATTCTGCCACAAGAAATCTCCATATGCAAACATTCACCTTCAAGAAATTTGACAACAAACCCCAACCATAACCTTATGAATCCTATGAATACATTATCTTCCGAGGAAAAGACATAGTAAAACAGAACTCACACGTGAACAAGCAAGCCTGTACTTGTCAATGAGGACCTGGAAACATGGTCCTGCCACCTCCACAAGCACCCTAATATAAAATCCCCAATGGCAGCCCATCTACCCTCCTCACCTGTGATGGCTGCTTGCTCGGCCTACGCTCTGGGGGAAGCTCGGTCATCCAGGCCTCCCGTGCTGGAGGACCATCTGTGGCTTGAGGCATGGAACTGAGAGGGCGACCCGCCCTTACAGATGCCCAGTCCTGTTCTCGCTGGAGCTGCCTTGCAGCCTCCTCTGCCATCTTCCTCAGCTTTGCATCCTCTCTGCCACCATCCACAGCAGCCCTGAGCTTCTCATCAAGAAGCTGCTTGGATGCATGGTTGACTGCCTGGAAGGCCTGAAAGAACAGCAGATACATAGCGTTAATCCTAATTTGGCTGGGCACAGTTGCTGGCTGTCTTATACACCTAACAAGCCTATTGCCAAGGGGCCTTATCCTCCCAGATTCAAAGATTTACACTAGCATGAATGGTACTCAAGTAACCAATATATTTTGCTCAACAGTACCATCCACAAGCTGCGCGACAAGATTAAAGCAGCTTTCCATCCAAGAGCATGCATGGAAAGTTCACAACCATGTTCCCAAGCAGCTCTCCCACTACAAGGGCAAGGCCTGAGACTGCGAGCAATGAAACCTCCCACAGCTAGCGTGTGCTTGGAACTGTGCCCTTGAACCTGCAGTGGCATGTGACAAGTGCTGCTGGATACTCACTGCTTTCCATCTGCTCGCCATCAAGTCCAACAACACTACACCACGATATTGGTTGCCCACAAATTTTTGAAGCAGAACCAAGCGAACCGCCAAAGTGGCCGTCACTACCTTTCACGCCTTTTTTCTCCTCAAGGCAACAATTTCCTTTCAATAGATGCTGGAATGGTTGCGCAAGGTGGCAAAGAGCATTGAGCGTGATTGTCATCAAATGCCTGTCAGAAATTGACAAAGCAATACAAGCCCCGTTGTGTACAATTCCTATGCTGATCGTACTGTTGCAATGCTGATTGGTTTGTGTCTGTGTGTTTCTTTCACTTCAGTGAACAAATTTTAAATCCTTTTCAAGCAGACAGAGTCTGGCCTACAAAGGATGGAGCGAGGCAGCCAATGCAGGGACCTCTTTTTCATCTCCCTGTGTCGATCAGCCAATTCTCAACACCTCCCCTTACATAAACAGCTGTTGTTTGCATGTGGTGTATAAACGTGGCCTGCAGATTGGGACCCCATTATGAGGGAACAAACACCTGTTGGATGCTGCTGCCCTTTCACCACCTGCAAGCTGCCAGTGCTTGGATTCTCATATGCTGTTGAAACAATGCAGTTCATGGCACTCAGCCAACACCCCACAAAGCCAACGCAACCAGTCATGTGGGCTGCAGTTAATGCAACTATTACTGCTACACCTGCTGTGCTGTGCACCATGTGCTTCCAGCCACACCCAGAGTCTACAAGACTAAAAGAGAAGAAACGACCTGTCCTTTTCTTCCCTTTTCTTTCCTTTTCTTTTGTCTTTTCTGTTTTCCTGTTATGGTAAGGAAGTGCCCATCGTATGACATGCCTTCCTTTCGCTACAACGAATCACCGCCCACCTGCTGCGCCTTCGGGTGCCCGCACTTGTCCGGATGCACCAGCAGCGAGAGCATCCAGTACCGCTTCCTCACCGCTGAGGTGGACGCCCCAGGATCGACGCCCAGGACGTCATAGGCGTCCGGGTGCGAGCCGGGCCCCGCCGACGCCACCACCGCCATCACCCTCAACACCTCGGCGTCCCTTGCGCCGGCCGGTGCTGCCCCCGCCTCCTCCTGCACCTCGGGTGGCATGGGCCCAACGAGCGGAGCAGAATCCACGGAACCCTCGTCGATTGAATTCTCCGAACCGCGACCGACATTTGAATTGTGATCCGGCGGCAAGCAGGGGCCGATGCCTCGCCGGCCGTCGCGCGGATCTTCGGGCTCCTGGACAGCGGCGGCGTCTGCGAGCTGGCCGATCGAGACGCCGGGGGGCAGCTGCGGGCCGATCGCAGGGACGAACCTTGCCGCCAGCCCTCCACCGGATTCATCCACTGAGCCGGGAGCGCCTCCCTCTGCAGAATTGTCGCCTTTCCTCCAATCTGGACGCGCTGTGCCCTGGCCACCGCCATCAGGACATCCCTCCCTTCCGGCAAACGCTGATTGATCCCCGCGGGTGTCAACGGAAGGGGACGATGCTGTTGGCGAACTCTCCCTGCGTTTCTTCCTCTTCTCTCTCCCGCGCACATCTGACTCCCCGTCGCGGCGCTTCCGCTTGCCATGCTTGTCTCCGTGCCTGCGCTTCTTGCCCTCCCGGCCCGTGCCCTTGTCCTTGCGCTTGTGGCTCTTCTTGTGGCCTCTGGACCCGTCGCCCATCGTCCTGCAGCGACGCCCCGCTTCCACCACACGCTATCCTCGGGGTAGCCGTAGGGAAGCGTCCATTCGCAGAGGCGCGTGCTTCTTTCCGAGCTTATGCGTTGAGCAAGCGGGTGGAAATGCGGTGTGGGGGACTCCTCTCCACCCCCTTGTTCGTGTTCTCTCCATTGTTCCGAGTTTGGAAAAAATACTTCCTCCGGCCACAATTAGATTTTCCTCTATCTGAAAGATAAATTTCGTTATTTAAACGGCTTCCAAACTGCCGATAAAGGTCAGAATCGAAAAGATTGTGTCCGAAAACCTTTGACAACCAGTTTTTGTGAAAAAATACTCATCCTCACTATTTATGAGGCCCCTTCCAAATTGTCCAAGATTTGGTTGAAAGCCATGCATTCCGATTCAACGTCCTTTTTTTTGGAAATAAATTTGTCAAAATCATGGCAAAGCAAGCCTTGTCACCAAGTTGCTGATGTCGGGCAGTGTTCCCAGGCAACAACATGCAATTCAGTCTGCATTTATGTTCGAATGTCACTAAACAGACCCCAAAACTGGATGCAAAATCACCTATCATATTATGAGAAGTCAGGACATTTATTACTAGAATATGGAGTATATGGGTACAGTGACAATACAGTAAGGCACCGGTGTGGGTGCCATGACACGGAATCTTTCCGCACCGGTGGCCCGCGAGCTTACCACCATATTTATGTGGTGAGTACGGTGTAGTAATGATCCTTTCTCGCGCAAGCAAACTGCGCCCGCAACCCGACCCCGCGACCTCGGTCGACCTGGCCGACGGAGCCTGTGAGCTCGCCTGTCCCCGAGCATACTGCCACGAGAGCCGTGCCCAGCATGCGCAGTAGAACGATTCGGACCCGGCGGAGGCGGAGCATCGAGCGGCTAACCACCACGCGCATCAGAGGCTCCCTCGCGACGGCGGGGGCCCGAAGGGAAGCCGACAACATTTGGTTTCGGAACCTGGAGTTTGACGCGCCGAGTGCGCAAGGAAGGGCACTGGAAGCACAGCAAAGCGGCCGAACCGAGCGGCCGGCGGGATTCGAGAAAGGAGGCCACATCCAAGGCCAATTGCGGCTCGAACCGGCTGAGCCACGAGGATGATTTTCGGTGGGTCAGCGGCTGGAATTTTGCTGAATCGAAGTGCAGACCGGCACGTACAGTTGCGCCGAGGTTGGCGAAGTGATAGCAATGGGTTCGAAGTGCTGAATCGAACGCCATCTCGGGTTCCCACGTTGGGCCCGTTTGAATCGGCGGGAATTGGCGACGGAAAACATGAGCCAAAGTGCGGATTGAACTTGCAGCACCGTGGCCGGGCCGAGTGGGCCACATTGAGTGGAAAGAAACACGTGATTAAGCTCGATTGTGAGCTATGCTGGTGGAAAATTGCGGCAGAAGGTCGATTCTGGACGTGCATCTTGGTGGCGAACAGCGGCAACGCGCAGCGAAGCCGCGATTGGCTGTGCGCGGCGATTGGAGACCGAGGGCCATGTTGCAGGAGGCCCAACTGGCCGACGCCATGGACATGGACAGCGGGGAGAGCGTGTCCGGGCCATCATGCCACACGGAGGCGGCGGAGTTGCGAGGGGCCCAGAGCGGCCGCAGCACCGCACCAGGTCGCATGAGGTTGAGTCAGCATCGGCCTAATCAGGCTGATTTAGGTGCGGAAAGTGTGGCTGCGAACTACAGCAGAAAAGACTCGAAATTTCCGTTGTCACGTGATGCCGAGCGGGGCGCTGCGGTGCATGCTGTCGCTGACGCAGTGACCCAGTGACACCGGACGCAGTGTCGCAGCACCGTACAGTACTGCAATTCGCAGGGTGGCAACAGTGGGTGCTACTACACCACCCGGGGCCGCATTCTCTTGTGTTTTTCGACTTTGGCAAACAAGGGAAACTACGACTAAGAGGAAATCAAGTCGGGAGAGACGTTCCCCATCAAGGGAATTGGCCAGGACAGCGTCGACCATGCAATCCGCAATTAAGGGAGTGGAAAAACAAGTTCAAGAATTGTCAATTGCGAAGTCCCAAGATGTGCAGCAGGTCCGGGAGGCAACCCAGCGCTCACTGACTGATTTGCAATCGTGAATGTCGCCAGCACCCATCGGCAAGTTCTGGAGCAGAACATGGAGGCGTTGAGAGCGAATCAACATCAGCAAGCTGCATCAGTTTTGAGTCTGCTGCAGGCGGTTAACCAGACGCGTTTTGAAGCCACTGCAATGAATGTGGCTCAGGGATTGGTGACCAAGATGGACCAGGTTTGGAATGGCACAAGCCATGGAGGAGAGTGTGAACAAACAACAAAATGACCTATCCGCAATAGTTAACCAGCTGAGATGTAAGGGGAAAATCTGCCGGAGGCAGTTTGCTCAGCGAAATTGGTCGGGCAGTAGCTCAGTTTCGAGCGTGGAGGCAAAGGCACAGAACCGCAGTGAACTTTGATTACAATGTTCACCTTGGACAGCTTTAAATAGCCGTCCAAGGGCAGGGTTTAGGCAGCCCAACTGGCACATGCCAAATTGGCAACTTTATAATGTTCAGATGTTCGAATTCAAACCCCTCCCGTCAACCCCGTTTTGTCCCGCGAGTCACCCTGACTAATCCCAACGTCATCCTCGCCCAATCTTAGCGGCGCACCCCGTGGGTCTATCCCACGCGCCTTGACCCTAAACGGTACCCGGCTTGGTGTGCATCTCACACCCCGTTCCGTCTATATTAAATATCTATTATACAATCCGTGCCCGTTTGGCGCGGCTCAAAAACTAATGATACAATGACTACCCATGCTATTATACAACGATGTTCCCGTATGTACAAGTCCCCAAACGGCTGCCCTCACACCCTTCCCCCCCTGCAACGAAGCGTCCTTGAGTGCCCTCTGTCCTTAGACGCTCCGGCAGGTTGGAAGGAGTGGTACGCCGCGGGTCGTCCCTCTGTAGGGCTCCCGGCTCAGGCCCATCCAGGCAAGCTGGACTCGAACGGGCCAACGTAACCTTCGGGTCGACAATCTCGTCCTCCTATTTCACGCTTGTCCACCAGCGTCCCTCCTGATGCTGGGTCCAGTCACCCCCCCCAATAGGGCTGGATGACGTCGCGCCACGGGTTGTCATCGTCGCGGTCTCCCGCCACCCGTCGCAGCCACTTGCTCGCCAGCGACCGCGTCCACGTGACGCTCCATGAGCCGTACGGCTCCAGCCCCTACTTCTTGGGCTTCGTCATAGGTTGCCACTCGGGTTGACTCTAGAGCGGCAGCGCCTGACTCGTCGTTGGCCGCCGCCGCCCAGCCGCGCCCCCGCGTCATAGGCGGGACGTCCTTGGTGACGTCCAGCCCCTCACCGCTGTCGGAGTCATCATTGGAACCCCAGTTCACAGGGCTGTCGGGGCGTGGCCGGTTCACCAGCTCCCAATGGCAACGCAGTTGCTCCGCCGCATTGCGCCTTTGGATGTGCTGGTAGATTTCGATCCAGCTCTCGGTACCGGGCGCCATCTCGTCTCGGACGGGAGCAGCGGGATGGCAGGCTGCTGGCTCGGGGTGGTAGAGGATGGCGGACAGTAGAAGGGCGGTGGCCAACACTCCCGCCCGTCCTATAAATAGAGCCATACCATTCAGGACCCTTCCACTTCGTCGTACCTTGTCATTGGGAAGCGCGGCAACCTTTGCCGTGCATATTTCTGGCACCGTCTTTTCGTATAATGGGTCTGGCGGCGCCGGCTTGCAATTGACGCCTTGACCGCCTGTTGGCGTCTTTTGATCCGTCGCGTCGAACCGCCACATGACCACCATAATACGCCTCCTGAGGCGTCTCCTTGCACGCCGCTTCACCGCCTGGTCCTGTACCGTTTTCGTGGCGGGCGTGTTTCCTTGTGGTACAGCTCTTGCCTTGCTGCCCGGCGCCCTGGCTGTGACGTCCGTGAAGCTGCCATTGGGGTTGCCGTTTTCGTCCAGTTGATCAGCTGCACCTTGCGGAGTCGTTATCTTTACTTCGATGTCTTCCGCCACCACCTTGACGTCCGCGCAGTTGGTGACGACTTTGCCGTCTTGGTCCCCCTCGTCCCGCGTCTTGGAACCATCATAGTCGTCAGCTCTAGACGTCACACCTTGGTCATCACCAGCGTTGTAGACGTCGCCGGTCTGACCCTCAGCGACCGTGCTGATGTCCTTGCTTTCTTGGGGTGATGGCGCAGCGTCAGCTTTGCCACAGCTCCCTTCCGGTTCTGCTCTTTTTCCGCCGGTGTCCTTGTAGCAGTCCCCGCTGCACGGGTCCCCCTCTGGGTGGCTGTGGTCACCTTCCAGAATCATTCGCTGCCGGACGCACCGCTTCAGCCGTTCGGTTGGGTCGAATTTCACCTCCAGCTGTTCAGGTGCGGTGTCTTCTAATGGGGTGACGTCTTCGGCCTCGGTTTCGTTGTCCTTCTCCTTACTCAACGCTTCTTCGCTCTCGGCCTATGTGAGGTCGTCAGGTAGCTTCCCCCGAGGCACACAGTGGACGGGCCACACCCTTTCGTCATCCACAACAAGGGCGTGCTCGTCCCAGTCAAATCTTGGTCGGGCCCCGAGCAGCCATGGGATGCCCAAGATAGCATCGAAATGGCACAGATTCATCTCGGTAGCCTCCACCTTGGTGACGGATGGGCCCAGCTCGACTGTGAGGTCTTTTTGCACTGGGCACCTGCCTCGAGTCGTCCCGTTAGCCAGGCAGATTGTCGTTGAGTCCTCCACCTTTTCTGCCTGGCAGCTCCTCGAGGAAGGCGCGGTTGACGAAGTTCATGGTCGCCCCGGTATCAATCAAAGCGAGCCCTGGTCTTCCTTGTATCTTGGCTTTAAAACACGGCAGCGTTGTTGTAACCTTTGTTTGGTTGCTGATGTTACCGCAGTAGTTTTCGTCGAGTGTCTCGGCTTCAGCTAACTCTAAGTTTGTCACGGTGTGACGCCTCTCGCCACCATGACGTTTGTCATCTCTCGGTGCCACAGTGTGTTCGCCTGGT